AATGGGCCCTCCAACCCGAAAGCAAATCACAGTGAGGACAGTGAGACAATAGTCTGACCTGGGATTCTCAGGCTAATGGCCCCTACCTCCATTAGGCACAGAGAAGGACAGCAGGGCCGGAAGTATACTCAGGATCCCAGAGAGCACCCTGAAGTACATCCTTGACCACAGAGAACATCCTGAGGTACACCTTGGATCACAGAGAACACTCTGAGGTACACCTCAACTACAGAGAACACCCTGAGGTGCACCCTGGATCACAGGGAACACTCTGAGGTACACCTCAACTACAGAGAACACCCTGAGGTATACCCTGGATCACAGGGACCATTCTGATGTACAACTCGGATCACAGAGAACACCCTGAGGTATACTCGCAACCACAGAGAACAGACTGAGGTACACCTTGGGTCACAGAGAACAGACTGAGGTACAACTTGGGTCACAGAGAACACTCTGAGGTACACCTCAACTACAGAGAACACCCCGAGGTATACTCTCAACCACAGAAAACAGACTGAGGTACACCTTGAGAGAGTAGACCCTGAGTACAGACAACACCCTGAGGTACAACTTGGATCCCAGGGAAGATTGTGAGGTACATATTGGATCACAGGGAACACTCTGAGGTACGACAGAACCGCCCTTGAGCACAGTACCAGCCAGACATGGTCTTGCAGGAGGTGGGACACGCTCTGGACCAGGGAAAAATACATGCTGCTGATGCAACCTTGGCCGGAAAGCACAGGTGCAGAAACCAAGTATGAAGTTGGAGAGAGGGTCTAACCCCATTACACCTGAAGAGCCTCTCAAAATTTTTCTTCCAGTCCCTGCTGTTCCCAGGGTACCCGGAGGCAGACTTAACTGCCAGGAGGCATGGTAACAGTTCCTCTAAACTGGAAGCCAAGAACACGGTTTGGCTTTTCCCTCCTCCTCAGGCCACAGTGGGAGCAGGAAGAAAAAGGGGTCTTTGTATTAGCCAAATAGTATTTGACTAAATCTGTGTTCGAATCCTAGTTCTGTCACTGGTCTCACCTCTATGCTTCAGTTTCCTCGTCTGTGAAATCAGGAGAGAACTTAAGTGGTGCCTGGCACATGAAGGCCCTCCAAAAATGTTAGCCATTAGGATTCTTGTGATTATTTGCTACTTTAATACTGGGACTTGGAGCTGCCGGTGGCAGATGGGAACTGGGAGGGGTAGGGGTTCAGCCCAGGGAGCCGCCCTCAAACACCTCCTTGGACTCCAGTATCTAGTAAAGGTTAACAGAAAATTACCGTATCCTATACAGAAAGGATCCCTCAGGGCCCAGACCCTTGGGGAATGGAGACCAGGAATGCCCCAACAGGGAAAGACCTCAGCCACCCACCGACCTGGCTGCAGGTGAGGGGTCTGAGGACTAGGCATGAAGTGTCCCTCACACTTTGACTCCACCAACCCCTCCTGACTTTAGCAAGTAGGACTTCAGCCCCGAGCTTTCCTCTCCAGCCACAGGTCCATTCTCATCCAGGACCTGGTTGTCCATGAGGGAGGTCATCTGCTGGGCCTACCACCCCACCACAACTTCTCCTCTAGCCCACTCTGCCTACACCCTCTGCGACACCCCAGCTCCCTGAGTCGAGGCAGGGCAGCTGACGTGGCCCCCTAACTCCTGGGTGGGCCCTGCTCCTCCCTAGTTCCCCATCACCTCATCCCCATCCCTTGTCCCATGGTGGCTACACTCATCTCCCCAGCACTCTGGAATCCGTCATGTTCTCTTGTGTGCCTCTCCGCGTGCTGTGCCCTCCACCTGGACCCCCCTCCCAACCCTGCCTTTGGCTCTCTCTGCTCTATCCTGGAAGAATTGGCCCCATGTAACTGAGGGGCCCCTTCCCTAGTTCCCACCACACCCAAGGGTCGCCTTCATCATAATTCTGGTTCTACCACAGAGAATCCTCAGCTTTTCCTCTCCACATCTTGAAGGACACACCAATCTGTGCACCCCTCCCCCCCAGGACCTCCCAAATGCCTGAAGGGACAAACACGCCCCTGAAGGGAGGGAGTGGGTCTCAGGCTTGTGTAGCCAGCGCCCGGGGAAGCTGACCACAGAAGAGCTCAACATGAATCCCCAAACTCAAATACACTGAGGACTGACAGAGGCTTCCTTTGTTAAAAGACAGCAAACTGTTAGATTTCAAAAATAACTTAAGACAAAATTTCTTTTTTATTCTCGAGCAAGAAGCCAGACATTGCCAAATCTATTTAGAGAGTTCACCAAAAGGCTGCTACCCCTGCACTGGGGTCCCGCAGCCACCGTGAGACTTTATTCAGGAGGCCATGCATACTGGGGGTCCTTGATTCTGGGGATGGCTGGCCAAGGTCAGGGCGCTGGCTCTTCTGAGGGAGACGAAAGGTCCGGGGAAGAGGCTGGGCTCTCGGGCCTGGCCTCCACTCTGGCTTGTCCCCAGTCCCTGGGATTTGCCCTCGGCCTGTCAGCACCCCCATCCACACCGCCTGCTTGTAGGGACTCGTTTTAATTAATGCCAGAGCTGGGCCAACCACTGGGGCCGTGACACTTGTTTGCAGGTCATCGCCTTCTAACGGGTTCTCCCTGGGAGGGGATTTGTCACTAATTGAAGCAGAGATCGGTTAATGAGGCCGCGGGCCCAGGGTTCCAGAGAACAAGGGAAAGGAAAATAAAATAAAGCCTCTTTCTTTGGAGGTTTTGTGATTTACACACACAAAAGAAAAGCAAGCAAGCTGCAGATTTTCCAAGTCAGAAACTCCCGCTCCATCTGCCGGAGTTAGACCCTCACTGTGTGAAGACGTCAGGCAGAGGGACGCCACCACCGCTGAGACCAGGGATCTAGGCGGAGAGGGGCCTCCTGAGCCCGGCAATCAATCAGCAACCTAATTAACAAGTATTTATGGAGCAGTGCTGGCGCCCCCTCTGTGGGGGAGAAGACACAGGGCCTGTCCCTGCTTAACTTGTAATCCAGTGGCAAGATGACAGGACGGGACACACGGAGTGTGTGGGAAGGACGGAAGTTTCTAGGACTTGGGGGTGAGGGGACAGTTTGGGCTGGCATGGTCAGGAAAAGCCTCTGAGCACTCTGCAGCTAGGCAGGGAGTTGGAAGGAGGGTGTCCCTGGCACAGGAACAGTCCCTGAGGGCACAATCCCCTGTGTGAGGTTCCTAGTCCTTGACGGTAAGACCCTGGCTCTGAGAGCCTGGAGGGTTTCCAGTCCCCAGTAACTGCAGCTTCCACATCAGAGCCCCCACCCCACAATCTGGGCTGGGTCTGATCCTAGGAAGTGATAGGGATGGAATGACCACAGGCCCCTTGCATGGTACAGTGAGGAGTGGGGATGCAAACAGCCTGGAGCGCCATGCCTGCAGGAGGAGGTCGTCCCACCAGGACAGTGGTCCCCTTCACTCAAGCTTTTCCCAGGCTGCTCAGTATTATCCCTGACGGGGTTTCCTGCCCTCAGCTCCGTCCCACCTCACCCTTCACCTCAAAGAAGGAAATGGGATTTTCAAGCTACTGAACTAGGTAGGGCCATCAGCTCCTCTTGTCATAAAAAGCAAGAAGGAGGCAACAGAGCCCCTTTCCTTCTTCTCACAAGAGCCCTGACCTTTGCCAATCACCCCCCAGAATCAGGGACTGCCAATTTGTATAACCCCAAATGATGTCTCCGTTGGTTTGAGGACCAGCAGGGTAGGGACTGCCAATTTGTATAACCCCAAATGATGTCTCCGTTGGTTTGAGGACCAGCAGGGTAGGGTTTGTGGTCTCTGGGCAAGCCATGTGAATAGATTCGGCAATGTCTGCCCTCTTGCTGGATCTAAGACAAGGATTTGGGGAGGGAGCTCAAATCTTGGGCATGAAACAGGGATCACTCCCCCACAGGGCATTTGGAGAGGAGGTGGTCTGCATGGGAGCAGAGTAAATGAAGCCACCCCAAGACAATCCCAAATCCCCACTTTCCCAGAACAGTGAAATCAATGACGGCGTATGGTACAACAGGTTAGTACATAGTTGTGAACAATTATTATATTTAATGACAAGGCAAAGATGAGGAAAGTGGGATTTACAAAAAAGAGGATTATATGTGAGTTCTTTCAATACATGTGAATTTTTATATTTGCATTTTCTGTTTTCTTACTAACTGTGTGTATTTATTGTATGATGAATGGAATGACAAAGTTGTGAAGTGAATTTTACCCTCTAGAGTCCACTCTGGAGAGCCCCCAGTCAGGATCCAGAGAGTACAGATGGAGGTGTGAGGGTGGGTTCAAGAGGGGGATGAGTGTAGCCAAGGTCCTGAGAACTTGAGCTTCCACTCTGGCTCTGGCCCAGGCCCCTCACCGTGTCACTTGCGCTCAGCCCTCCTCTGGGATCCAGCCTTACGCTCACATAGTCAGTTTACAAACCTAGCCTACTTCCGAGCTGCTCCTGTCCTGTGGGATTCAAACGAACCTATCGGTCCTGTCTTGAAGAGCTCATAGGCCTCCAAGGGGAAGTAGACATGTGGCCACTTGACCCAGGCCACTGAGAGGGGACAGCAGTGCCCTGGGAACTCAGGCAGAAAGCAAAGGGGAGCCAGCCTGTGGCCGAGCCCTGCAACTGTTCCTGAGCAACTCGCTTCCTGCATCAGCCACGTCACCGAGAGAGAAGAGCAGCTCCCCTGAGGGTGCTGGGTAAACACGGACCCCTCTAGCAACAGACCCCCTGCCCTCAGCTTGGAGCATGCAGCTCTTTGCGTCACTCATGGCCACGGCCTCACCTCCCCACCTGCTCTCCAAAATCTGCAGCACTCTCTATTCAAGTTCATGTCTCTCTGTTAAAGTGTCACCAGAATCTTCTCTGCCTAGAAAGCCTACCCTGGTGGCCCACCCACAGAACCCTCTGTCTCCCACACCCTTGCCTGGCCCTGACCTCAGACAGGTGTGGCCAGAGCTGCTGGGGAGAGGGGGCACCCACAGCACAGCAGGACAGAGAAGTGGGGACAGAGTTACTCACAGCGATGGAGACAGCACTAATGACAGCTCCCAGGTAGCCCTGGATGAACTTGGACGCAGGAGAAGGCTGGAAGGCAGAGAGAGATTTCCAGGCTCACTGGGTGCCCAAAGCAGCCATACCCAACCCTTGCCAAGAGCCCCAGCCAGCAAGAAACATTGCTGCCCACCAGCAGGTGAGTAGGCAAAGGTCCCTCTGGAAGCCAAAGGGACCCAGGCCTCCCTCTGCATAGCTCCAGACATGGAAATGCAGGTGGGCAATGTCCCGGGAAAGTCCAAAGGGCCCATGGCACTTTCGCCCTGTTCTCAAGAGCTCACTGGCAGGCTCTGCTGGCTGGAGGGAGATAATGGCGAGGGCCAAAATGGGACATCCACAGCTGAGCCAAGCAGGGCCAGCGGAGGAACGAATGCTGGACGTGGGCTGCTGGCACCCAGAAGCCCGCCGAGGCGGAAATGGCTGGCTACACCTGGCTGGCTCTTCCGCGCATGGTCAACCCAGGTGGCAGACCAGGTGGCCGTGCCAACAGATGACGGTTGCTCAACATTTCCACAGAAAAACGCAACCCGAGTTGCAGCAGATCACGTTAAGAAGGAGCTACGGAACTTGCCTTTAGCAGCGCTCTGACTGCAATTTGGGGGATGTTTGGTTTAAGGTAGACGGGAGCCATCCAAGCAGAGCTCCACACATGGGGATCACACAGGCCAGACACGGATTGAAGGTTTAGATAAGGGAGGGGGCGTCCTCAGAGTTTCAGGCCCAAAAGTTCCTACCACCCAGGCCAGCCCCTAGCTCTCCCCTGCTCTGCCCCAGGGTTAGAGAATGCCCACACCTGCCCCTCCCCAAACTGAGCGCCCCCAGTAGGACCTGGACTCCTCTTCTCCTCTCCCTGCCTTGGGACAGAAGTGCAGGACAGACAGCCTTGCCGGGGAAGAAGGGGCCCAGCTCCTTCCTAGACAAGGGAAGGGTGACAGGGCCTCCAGCGAGAATTGTCCCAGGAGCACAGAGGACTTGTGGGGAGGAGGGCCTGGTCCCCTCAGACCCCTCACCCCTCCAGAGCAGCCCTTCCACTCTACAGCCGACCGTCTGGGGGCACCAAGGCAGCTTCCAGGCGAGCTTGGAGGAAGCTTCAGGGGAATTCAGTCCCCATGTGGCTGATGCCATCCTAATCCAAGATCTGGGGGATAAGAGCTGCCCAAGGAGGATGCTGAAGCCAACAGAGCTCCTCCCTCTCACCGCCTCCACTCGATTCACATTTTATGGACCTTCCTCACTTCATGTGAACAGCCCCTCCCCGGTGGGGCCCTTCCAGAAGGGTTGGCAGTTTAAATTAGGTGCTTAGAAGAGCACAAGGCTTAACACAGAGGAACAACCCTCCCCCCACCCTGCCGATGGTGGCAGGCCACACTGTAGGGAGGAGGGTCTCCCCACCCTGCTCCCTGCCACTGCGTGCGGGTGGTCTGCGACACTCACCTTGGTGGCATTGCGGTTTGCATAGTTGACACAAGCATTATGGCTCTGGTTCAGCCACTGAAAGGGAACGGGGGAGAGGAGACGTCAGGGAAGGGGGTGGAAGCTGGGCCTGGACCCCGGGTGGCCACAGCCTCCAGAAAGACACAGGATGCTGTCTCCAGCTCACGGCTGGTTCTGTCTACAGTTCCGACCATTCCCATCCGCCCAGCAGCATGGAAACCCCGGGAAACCCCTCAGTTCCTGGCAAACCAGGATAGGGGTCCTGCCCCTGCGGGCAGTTCTTCCCAACCCAAAGACCGTCCCCTCTCCCAGAATCACCACGTTCACTGCCCCAGATGGAATCACTGCCTTTGACACATCACCCTTGTTGTATTACTTCTTGAGCAGAAAGTGGACATTTAGCCCCGGGAATTACCGACCGCCCCAAACCTCTTTCAAAAATACGCCAGCCCAGTGTCTTGTACCAAATACTCTCCACCTTGGTGTTGGTGGTGGATTTACCCTCCCTGAAGATTTAGGGAGGCTTATATCAAAATGAGGCTGAGGGCCTTGAGGTCACAGGCCTTGGGACAAACAGCCAAGGAGCAGGGGGGCAGCCACAAAGAAGACCTCATCCCCTTGTGCAAAAATTAGAGTCACATAAGATGGCCTAGGCGTGGGCTACTGGGACCTGCTCAGCCAAATTTGAGTTCCGGGCTTCCCCCAGGGGCCACTGAGTCAGGGAGGGGTTGGAGGTGGGGTGACTTTCCCCGAGGGGTCTGGAGGGGAGACACTGGGACCAGGGAGTTCTAAAGAGCACTTGGTGGGTCCTTCCTTCAGAAGCCCTCTTGGCCAGGACCGTTACCTGCCAGAAGACAGTGGATGCCAGCGTCTGGTTGGGCAAGAGAAGACCCACTACCTGCGAGAGAGAAAGAGAGGAGAGCCTGGATAAAGCCAAAGAAACACCCTATACGTTTGCCAAGAAAAATGACATAGCCACAAAGCAAAGTAAATCGGATCTGTACAAACTTGAGATGGACGAGGGGTACGCATAGACCGCTGACGGCGGCAGGAGGGTGTACAAAGCACGGAACTGGGTTGAGGAACTATATCACAGCACAATCCCACTTTGGTAAAGAAAAGAAGCCACATCATCTGTATAACCATATACACAAACATAGGCATATCCGTATCTCCATGTGAAAATCTATAGCCCAGCATGTAGATGTCTCTGGCGGTTGGGTGACAGTAGTTTCTCACAGTCTTCTAGAATATTCCTATATTCTTTTAAACACTGGACATGTATTATTTCCATAACTGGGGGCAGAGGGGTAATAAAAACAAAGAAGCAAACCAAAGGAACATCTTTACTTCCACTCAGCTAACCCTGCTCTTTCATACCCTCACCACCCCCATAGGATTTCTGTGAGGATTAAAATATGATGATAGGAGTGTCTGGGGGGAGCTCAGTCAGTGAAGTGTCTGCCTGTGGTGCAGGTCATGACCCTGGGGGTCCTGGGATGGAGCTCCTGCAGTGGGCTCCCTGCTTGGGGGGAGTCTGTTTCTCCCTCTGCCTCTCACCCAGCTCATGCTCTCTCTCAAGTAAATAAATAAAACTTCCAAAAAAGTAAAATATGATGATAAAAATCATTTTTGTAAAAGATTTTATTTATGTATTTGTCAGAGAGACAGAGTGAGAGAGAGAGAGAGAGAGCACAAGCAGGGGCAAGCAGCAGGCAGAGGGAGAACCAAGCTCCCCACTGAGCAGGGACCACCCTGATGTGGGGCTCGATCCCAGGACCCTGAGATCATGACGTGAGCTGAAGGCAGATGCTTACCCGGCAGAGCCACCCAGGCACCCCAGATAAAAATCATTTTGAGTACCGGTAGCTAGGTGTGGATTCATTATTCCCAGAGCCCAAATGTCACCTAAGAGCTAGACTTGCTGATTCCATTTTTTGGGTTTACATCAAGATGAATTGTCTCATCTTGACAACTGGCCAAACTTTGGCCTTCAGGGATTCACATGTCTCTCTCGAGTTTACCTTTTGAGTGCTTGTGTGCAAAATAACGTCTACCAAGTACCACTGCATATGGGGAAAATGTGCACAACCATCACATATTGACTTATTTATTATTCCTGTAGATAAAATGGCTCTTTGGCAAGGATTTCTGTAAGGAGCAAGTATAAACATTCAATACTATGCAGTAAATCAAATTCTAGACATCCTCAGCAGCATTTGTAAATCATGTTTTAAACATTAAAATGTTTTAAGACAGCAAACACACACACACACACACACACACACACACTTATATTTATTGGCCCATATCAGTTTGAATAAAATTATATAATGTAAAGCCACTCCATAGCTCCAATGAGGAATTACGAGATTTCTCTCCCCAAAAGGAGATTCCAGTTTGATTTTTCTCTGCAGCAACAGCTTAGGGCACTGGAGTGAGAATCAGGAGAGCTTGGAGCCCAGCCTCGGCCCCGTCCCGGTGTGATCTCCAGCTAACACTGTCTCTAGCCGAAGACAGTCCCCTTTCGGGCTCTAGCTTTCTTACCTATACAGTGAAGGGGTTGGGCTTGGAGGTCCTACCTTGGTGTAAAATTCTATTCTCGGGTTCCAAGCAGCAGGTATGAAGTCAATTGAGATCGCCCCACTGCCTGTAAAGGGAATCCCTCCTCACCCAGCCCAGCAGAGAAGTATCGCTGGGGACCCAGGACCTCCTCCCAGTCAGGCTCCAGCCACCAGGAGCCAGACCACAGAGAAGAAGCTGAGCCTAGAGAAGCCTGAAATTGGGAGCCGACCATGGGACCCAGCGAGTGTGTGCATGCATGCGTGCACGTGTGGATGTCTGTGTACACTTGTGCCTGTCTGACCGCCTCTCAAAGCCTGAAGAGATGAAAGCTATTCTTCCCTGCTGGGAACTCAGCCATTCATTCCCCTGACTTGGTCTAGGGGACCAGGTCATGTGTGTATTATGGACCACACTGTCTTCTCCTTCTCGATCCCCCTTACATTCCCTGCCCTGAGCTTGGGCCATTGGGAGTGTCATAAGATACAGCCTCTTGGGACAACCATAGTCCAGGACACTCACTGCTCCTTACATTGCAGAGAGTCCCTTTTATGAATCCCCCCTGGGAGACATTTTTCTAGTCTTGGGGTCAGAAATGTATACTTCTGAGCATCTGGTTTGCATCTATCTTGCACACATTGAGCATTTAACCGTGTCTCTCTTTGCACTGACTGTCAAGGACCTCAGGCCAGATCTCCATGGCTCACATCTGTCCAGGGCACAGGCCCTCACTACATGCATTTTATGCCCAAACGTCACTCTTAGCTTCTTCCCTTTCCTAAACTCTTTCATTTTTGTCTTCACTTGTATTTTCTGTGGCAGGCATTTTTTTTTTTTTTTTAATGTGACACCAAGTCTTTTCCAGAACAAACCACAGCCCTAAACTAAATTGAAATAATAGTCAGGCTGTGTCACACACACACACACACACACACACCCACCCCTTGTAACCTGTGAGCTCTTCTTGTTGGCCAAACCTGGCCAGCCTCCTGTCCTAAACCCTGCTCTAACTATGTTGGACACCTCTGACCCCTTATGTGTTCTTAAAGAGATTGATTGACTGACTGATTGATTGATTTTGCTAAGCATTTCCCCTATGTCACTTACCATGATCCTTATCAGAACTCTGGGGCTCAGACAAAAGAGAGATTAGGTTCTATATTTTACAAATGGGGAAACTGAGGCTTAGAGAAATTCAGTGATTTGCCTAAAGCTTCACAGCAAGCTAGAGAAAGTCAGAAAGATCTCCTGATTCCTGGCTTGAGGGCTCCAACTCTCTGATCTGAGGGCTCCCTTTTCCAGCTCATTCACTGGAGCACAAAGGAAGAGTCACACTCCATGCCCATTTCCAGGCATCTTCTAGGCACCACGTTCCATGGTACTCTCAATGGAGAATACAGAAAGAGAGGAATATACGGCACTTAACCACAAAGACCAAATGGGAGAATGGATGAGAATATCCTTTATAACACCTGGCCGTGAAAATGACCAGACGGTTGAATCAGGTACTTGGGTATGTCAAGTGGATAAATGCAAACATCCCAACCAGAGCTCAGGAAAGAGAGATCAGTGTGCTCTGGCTGCCAAAGGAGGTGGTGGGACAGAGCGGAGGTGTGCACGCGTGTGTATGTGCGCGTGTGCGTGTGCGTGGGGGGGCGGCGAGAGTACACGCTCACGGGAGCAGGAACAGCCAAGAGACTGTCTCCTTAAAGGAGGAGGTTTGAAGAATCAGCAGACCTAGGAGGGTGAGGTTAGAGGCAGCGGAAAGTCTTGCTGCATTGGGCCCCCAAACAGGGCCCAAGGGAACCATCCGAGGCTGAGGCAAGGGGAACAGGGATCCCACTTTGCAGGTCCTACAGTCAGGCTGCCGGGGCCAGGAGCACATGGGTGCCAGCCCCGTTCCCTATTAGGCAACACGCAGCACCATCTGCACAGTCCCAGGAGCAAGAGCAGATATTTTATAACTTCCTTTTTTCTTTTTAAGTCGAAATTAAAAATAAATGTTCCTTCAGTTCTCAGATGTATATCTCTGGTGCAACCTGCCCACATTCCCGCACGCTGCCCTTTCCAGAACATGGCAGGGGAAAGGAGGAAAGAGATGGATAGAGAGAGGGAGCCAGTCCACCCGGCTTCAATGCCAGTGGGTTGCACCTCTTCCAAGAGGGAAACGCTTCAGGCGTGGCCGCGCAGACGGGTGGAGAGCGCCCAGAAAGCGGCTGGTACCAGGGAGAGTGGAAGGAGAGCCAACAGCCAGAATTTCCAGCCCAGCCTCCACCCGATCTTGCTGCAGGACCTTGGCCAAATCGCACATCCTATCTGTGCTCCCATTTATAGTTCGTAACACGGCTGGGGTCCCCTCCGCGGCTCCCGCCCCCTGGCAGCTGTCCTCTTCACACATCTGTCCACTTTTGCTGCCTCCCTTCCCTCAAGTGGCCGGCCATGGGCCCTGGGGATTAACGCACTGGCTCTGGTCACAGGAAGAGCTAGACTCAGATCCTGGTTCTAGTATTTACCAGCCACGTGACCGCACACAAGTTACTTGAGCTCTTTGTGCCTCCATTTCTTTTTCCCCCCATCTGTTAAATGGCAACCGCCCTGGTACTTATCTGGATGACCATGGTGGGAGGCAGGCATGGGAGGAATTTGGTCCAGTGTCTGCGTGCAGCAAGTACTCAAGTATAAAGTGTAAGGCATCGTTCTTCTCCTCCTCTCTCACTCTTTTCTAGTTTTTGCTGGTCTCTCTTTTGTCTGAACTCCACGATCCACCTTACATAATTGAGCATCATCTTGCCCCCATCTTGTCTCCAACACAAGCCTCATCCCTCCAAGGATGGGGATCTCCTGAAGGTAGAATCAGGGCTTTTCTCTCCGATGTCCCCCAAAGTGCTCAGCACCAAGCTGGGCCCACACTGTGTTGTACGTCCTAGAAGAATATTGTTAATTCATTATTAAGGACCTTAAATCTTGGGGGCGTCTGGGTGGCTCAGTCAGTTAAGCATCTGACCCCTGATTTCAGCTCAGGTCATGATCTCAAGATGGTGGGATCGAGCCCCACATTGGGCTCCATCCTCGTGCGGAATTTGCTTCTCCCTCTCCTTCTGCTCCTCTTCCCCCACCTCTAAAATAAATAAATACAGGGCGCCTGGGTGGCTCAGTGGGTTAAAGCCTCTGCCTTTGGCTCAGGTCATGATCCCAGGGTCCTGGGATCAAGCCCCACATCAGGCTCTCTGCTCAGCAGGGAGCCTGCTTCCCCCTCTCCCTATGCCTGCCTCTCTGCCGCCTTGTGATCTCTGTCTGTCAAATAAATAAATAAAATCTTTAAAAAAAAATACAATC